CGTCGTTGAAATGAATGCCGCTTTGTTGAAAGTCGGCAGTGGTTGCCCTGTGGGGACTGGCTTCGCGCCATGAGAATTTCGACTTTCCATCGCTGGATGACGGCGGCCAATGAGAGAGGGGTGCCAGTCCATTTGCTCATTTGATCTCGAGCTAGCCTCACCGGGTCCTAATACTTTATTTTTTTTATTTTTCGAAAGTTCTTGCTTGAGATACCGGACTCATTGTTGAGAACATCCACACGTCAAACGGGATTGGCGGGGGGTGGGAAGAGTTCAGGTATGAAAATGTCAGGCAGCGAGCCACTTTCTGTCCTGCCTTCCTGCTCGTGGGGGGAGTTGCCCTGCAGATGGGTGTGTCGTGCACACGACACACAGTGAGTTAATCGCCGGTCACAGTGCTTGGTTTACACACAGGATTGTCATCTCTTAATCTACCAGACGATCAAATCACCCAGAAATGTGCCCCATCTCGGAAGCCAAGCTGGGTTTGAACCTGGATAGTGCTTCGGTAGACAGCAGAGGGCAGTGCACGCGAAGGCAATTTTTGTACCCGATTCTGCTCTCACGTCTATAACACGCCACCTTCACTAATACCGTAGTGACCATCGGTTCGTGAAGTATGGTCAAACAACCCTCCGTTATCTGCACGGCATCAGGCGGATCCTCATCTAGCAGCGGATTGGCAAAAGGATCATGCACGCACCCGGACAATATCTTAGTGACAGCAGCATTTTGTGGAGCATCGGGAATCCTGGCAACGCGTCAGCTGTGGGACAGCAGTGCGAGTGTGAAAGTGCCGCTTCATAAAGAGACTCGGGCACAGGATAATAGATGTACGTGGATTCATTTATTTATAACGAGTTAACAGAATTCTCTCATTTTGCAGTGTTAAACTACGACACGGCCATGAGCTCCTTCGCGCGCAGAGAAACTCAAAGTAATGGAAGGGACGCCTCGACTCTCAGCAACAAACGTGATGCGTGCTCACGAAACAGCTCCTTCACGATAGGTCTGCGGTGGTCACGGCGAGCCACTGCTTGTGCAATTATTGTACTTTGCCACAGTTATTCTGCATTTGTGATGTTTTTGCTTCACGTTGCGTCACCATGTGCATCCCAATTGCGCGAGAGATGCGTCCATTTATTAATAGGTGTTTCATATATTTGGTATTCGCGACATTCTGATGGCGCGAGGCTATCGCAAAGGCGCTCTGTTTCACTGACGTAGTTTGAAGTTGTTCCAGTGGGGGGCGATGTTAATGTACGGAACGCCAAATGAGTAATCTGCGCCGTAAATGTAAAAAAAATTTGGCTACATTTGACCGTGACGCCGGCATGCAATGGCCTACTTTTTCGGATGACATCACGGAATCTCTAACGCCCGCCACGAAAGAGATGGTTGAATATTTCCTTTATGGTTCGTAGACCCCGCAGCATTAACTTGGGCAGTCTGCTGGAATCGGACCGTGAATCTCTCTGCAACGAGCAGAGAGGTTCCTCCGAGAAACTTGGGAGAAGGCAAAGCTTATTCCGGCGACCCTTCCGTAGGCCTCACCCACTACAATCACAAGGTGGGGCTCTCGGCCCATGTATATGTAGTGTTCGATTTCACTCGGGACAACCTCTGTCTTTCTTCGAACACCGCTTTATTTACAACTCTCAGCACGTCCTCCACATTCCACGGTATCCTGGTCGCCACGGCTCGCTATCCATGCTTCACCCGACTCGCTCGCCACCTTTGTCTCTCCACGATCACTTCGCTTACTCCGCCGATAACTTCTTCGTCTCCGCTCTCCGCTATCACCGTCACTATGCTCTCTCCACTGCTAACTGCTTCGTTTCCGTTCACCGCTATCACCGTCACTATGTTCACTCCACTGCTAACTACTTCGTTTCTGTTCACCGCTATCACCGTCACTATGCTCGCTCCACTGCTAACTGCTTCGTCTCTGTTCGGCTCCGCTATCGCTACGCTCTCTCCACTGCTGGCTTTTCTCTTCTTCAGCTCCGCTATCACTATGCTGTTTCCAAGCTCCGTCTCCCACTGTCTCCAAGCTCTCCGCTCTCCAATTTCCCCGCTGTTCACTCCGAGCTCTCCACTTCAACCACCAACTCCCAGCTCCGCCTTCCAGCTCCCCAAACTCCAACTCCAACCAAGCTCTCCAACTTCAACCCATCTCCAAGCTCTCCACCCTTCAACTCCCGCTGTTGACTCCAACTCCCGCTCTTATACCCGCTCTCATTACACCCCCCATTAATTAACCCGCGTCCCAACGGCTCTCCGCGTGACCGTCACACCTGTTTCTCGCCAGACTTCCAGACGCCCCTCCGGCCCTGGCAACAGCACCAACCAATCACAGCCGTCCACGGCTCACTCAGCTTAATTGCCCCAACATAACCTGCACTGTATTCGCCTTCGCTGCAGGCTGACCCAAGGTAACCCGTACTGTATTTGTTATCATGTAATCACGCCGTTTCCACAACGCACCTTCATACTCCACTACATCTATACACCGTTGCATTACAACGGATATCTCGTCCACGACTGGCAAGTACGGTACAACATTTAATGATGCCCGAGGATGGCCTTCATATTTTTGCAGTCACAGGAGACCGAGATAAAACCAGAATGCCCTTTGCTTTCTGGTTTGAAATCAGGACTGAAATCCAGGTCAGTGCTGGATCGGTTACAGCATCAAGTTCCATTGTCTTGTCAAGGTAAAAGGGATTAGGGTTCCAGTAATTTTTATGCTGCGTGTGTTCGGCACGCACACACTCGCTGTGTGCATTTCTTTTTGTCAATTTCCAAACCAGCGTTGTATAAAACGCAGCAACTTTACCCCTGCCCGCTCTGACCTGGAGTCGATTGGGTCACGCGGGTTCAAATCGCGGCCAATCACAAGCGCTGCTGAGAGCACATTGTTCACGCCGGCAGAACTTTGACGCACGTTGTGAATTTCCAGGTGCAATATTTACAAGTGTCGCGACCCACGCGGTGAATGAATCTAAAAATGTAATCGCTTTCCCTCGATAAAAGCAAAGGCCTCATATACGGTCTCAAATACGCGGTTGCTTTGTGACCGTTAAACTTTGATCTCTATGGGGTTTAGAATTACTCTCCAACGGTTTACACAAATCCTTTAGCTTTTAGCTCGCGCGTTTAATATTTGTACTTTAAAAAATCAAACTTCCCAAATGCAGCCTCCCTCCTGAAAATAACCCCCAAAGTTTTTACACTCAAGGAGGCTTTGCTGGGTAAATAATTGATACTGATTATCAATGGGTCTCATCAGCAAAAAAAAATCACCTTGGATGATAGATACAAAAGAAGTATTGTTTGTGGTGAGTATGGTATGGCAAAAACCAATAAGGGGTAGTCAAGCAGTTTCTTTTTTAATAAAGCTGGTTAATATTACGGCACACACTCACACTTGTCAATGTATTTCAGCAGCATCATTGCACATGTTTGTATGCCACTATGCATCATACCTTAACTTTGGCTTAAAAATAAGCCTAATAACAATACAACCTAATAATAGGTTTGTGTGACATCTTTAGTCCTGCTTTTAAAAAATGTGACCTTTTACACATATATACAGACTATGAGATTATGAATAAAGACAAAGATCCCCTGTATAGCCTTACCATACTGCTGGGGCAAGTGCAGTTAGCAAGCACCTATGAAGGCCGATACGATACTCGAGGGTGTGGGTGGCCAGCACCATGCCCGGCCGCCTTTGTCTCCCCAGTTGCAGTGTTTACACATCACACTCGGTACTGATTTTAGGCTGCGTAGACCTAGGGGAGGCTCAAGCCTGGATAAGATATTCGTCACTGTTGTTGGCCATGAGTGGGAATTTAACTTGGGTCGCCAGGTTCGTAGTGCAGCGTGCTAACCACATTTACGAATAAAGTGTACACATTCACACACATGTTCCATACATGTGTAGTGACATTGAATGAGTCTCTGTAGCGCGTGCCGCTGGGAGATTGTTAGACAATGGAATTAGGGGTAGCAGCCCGTTCTACAAGTTGGACCTGTGGGCAAGGCACGGAGCCCTCTGGGGGATCCAGAGGGGTGCAGGGCCGAGGGCGGAGCCTGGCCATGCTGGGGAGGATAAAAGGCGAGCTCCGGCTCACAGTCGGGGCTGCTGCCATCTGGAATGGAACTCGTCGTGCTGTCGTCGGCGTAGTGATCTTTGCCCTCTTCAAGCTGTGGGTCTGGCAGCATGTTGGCTGTCCCTACCCAGTATGTAGTTATCCCCTATGGCTGTGAAGGCCAGAATAAAGGAGAGAGAGTGCCTCCTACTAGTGTCTGTGAATTAGTACACTACACGTGTGTATGGAGCATGTGTGGACAGGATGAGGATGTAACTCGGCTGTTGGAGCATAATAATATCATCATCATCATCGTCCCTCCACGGTACAGTTGCCACCTGTCCTGTTTTTTTTCCCAAGAGTGTCCTCTTGCCCAGGTCGCTGCTGTCCTAGGAATTATGTCCATCTTCCCGGGACATTAAATCTCTCGTTTTAATTGTCTCCGGCATAAGAATACACCACCTCAAGGCAGTGCATTCACGAGTAGTGCTGTCCTCTGACATTTGTAGAGATATTCTCCCCATATGTCCCGTCTTTAGTACCCGGAGGTGGCAACCCTATCGCAGGTTTTGGAAAAGGAGATCCGCCTGGTTGAAGCTGAATCGTTCGTTGGCAGGTCAACGGTGGCTACGCCTTTGAGACTCTGTCCCTTACCATAGGAATGTGGAATTTCCACCATCAGCTGAAGACCAACAGTGGAGGTGTGTGCCGGCCAGTGCTTGTTTGAGCATGAAAATGCCTTCGGTTTTGTTGAGGGCACGTGCTGTACGATTGTACAGCACATGTACCCTGTGCATTGTTATCACACGCACTGTTGTATAGTGCATTGAATGGGCGTGCAAAGGAATTGCCCCTGCACCTTGTCGCGGTTCGATGGCCACGATCTCGTTTTGAGGATGATTATTTTTTTTGGTGGTGGGATTTTATCGTCTTGATCAAGTTTCTCATATTTTTTTTCTATCTTGGTATTTTTCCATCAGTCTACAGGTTACCACGGTGTATTCGTAGCGCACGATTGGCGCACATTGTAAAATAACGGATCCTTCATTGGCACGATTCCGTGCATGTATCACGAGCACAGGAATAGATTTTGATTAAATATCGTTACATGCCAACTTGAATTTAAGAGACAATGGATATGATTACAGACTGTTGTGCCAAGTCTGGTTTGTTAGCACCCATGAAGGGCAGGATGGCACGCACGTGCAGCCACCATTTTCCCCATAGTGCCAATTTTCACATTCGCAACATGCCACAAATGAAAACTAAACTTTATTTTATTTGACCAGGTAAGGCCCACTGAGCTATATAGCTCTTTTTTTATGAAATGACCTGGCTACAAATGATAACTCAACGATGTGGCTTATCATGTGGAAATGTATAGCAGCCAAATACTCTAAATGCACGTTGATTCTAAATGTGGAGGGAAAAACGGGAGGATTTGGAGAAAAACTTTAACTATGCAGGCATGGCCAGGGTCGGGATCGAACCCATGACCTCCTGTATACCAGGCGAGCGAGTTAACATCTCCTAGCCACCGTGATGTCCCAATCTCATTGTAGGCTTCGTTGGTCTAGAAAAGGCCTCGGACTGGTTAATTACCCAATTATTACTGGTGTGGTTAGATCACGATTAGGAATCGAACCTGGATTGTCAGAATCAGAGCAGGTTGTGCGAGTCATTACATCGCTGCTCTTTCGTGTTTACACGCACACGCAGCGTTCACTCATACATACATATTGCCGATTGTGACTAAATAAATGGTTGCTGCTTATTCAAATCATATTCAAACATCACTTGATCTTCTTTTTTGGGTCCAACAAGGGTGACCCAAAGATTGACCCTGCTTAGTAGTGTATAGAAACATAACCGTGCTCTGCCCATAGAAACAGAGAACACTTTCTCTCTGGGTGCACAATGCTCCATTAATTCATTTAGCTAACTTTTTACTGTATGGGACCTTTCTTGCCAGTATATATAAAAAGAACCCAATATATTTGATCCTTTTTGGCAATAAAACAGATGTTAACATGTTAAAACACCAAACATAATTATTTTATCAAGGAATCCTGTCTGCATTAACCACACGTACTTGTGGTGAGCATGCAAAAATTGCTTTCTAACATCTTAACACAACTGTTTTATTGCCAAAAAGGGTAACACCTATTGTTATAACTTCTTACTGGTTCACAGCACTGATATAATTTACGTTTTAATCGGCACTTTTAGCTTTATCCCCATTTACATCCATCTTTGTGCGCGTAGAGTCAAGCAGTGTCCTCTTTGGAACTTGCTCAGTCAACTTAGAAATAGGAATAGGTCGCGGGAGGGAAAGATCCCGGAAGGTGACACCTCCGACAGATGCGGAGTTGCTGCAATTATCCTCGGTCGCCCATCACTCGTGCAACTCCTTCACACTTCACAAACATAGGGAGTGGTTTTCCACGTGTCCACTCATCTAATAGACAGTGTTCATTAACTTGAGCCCTCAGCAGCAGCATTAACTGAATTAATCTGATTACGAAAAGGTTTTTTTTGGCACCATCCATTGGCCAAAACCCGGATTCAAACCCATGCCCTCAGCAGTGCTGGCTCGGTGCCTCTGACACGTCCATTAATGCGCCGACATCAACTCACCTATGGAGAGACTGGCCCTACCATAGGAATGTGGAATTTCCCACCACTGGCTTAGGGCCACCGATGGAGATGAGCGCTGCTCATCGAGTCGCTTTGAGTCACCTCGGGGAAGGGGGGGGGGGGGGAGAGGAGGTGGGGGAAAAGGGGGGGGGGGACGTCAAGGCAGAGCCGACGGCTTCTCAGTACACGTCCGCGGAGGGGCACGGCAGGAACGCGTCGCTGCTCGTCTCTGGCTCCTGCTCCTGCTCCTTCTGCCAGCGGCGCCGGCGCCGCCTCCTCGCGATGGGGTCGAGCAGCAGGATGAGCACGCACAGCGCCAGGCCGGCGCCCGCCATGTAGAACGACATGTCGTAGTTGCCCGTGATGTCGTGGAGCCAGCCTGCGGGGACGAATGGGGAGGGAGGGGGGGGGGGTGTACCGACAGCTCGGGGTCACGGGCGCCCCGAACGGTCCCGGCTCGGGGTGCGACGATGCATCGCGTCGAGGAGCGACGGCCATTCTTACGGAGTGCTGGATGGTTCGTCGAATAGTGGCAGCAACGCTGGCGAGATGTTAACTACCTCGCCTGGTATGCAGGAGGTCGTGGGTTCGATCCCAACCCTGACGCCTGTTTACGTGGAGATTGCATGTTCTCCCCGCGGATTTTTCTCTCGGTCCTCCGGTTTTTTCACTCCACGTTTAGAGTATTTCGCTGCTATAATTGCCACGTGATGAGCCATATCATTGAGCTGTCATTTGTGGCCTCGTCGCTTCTGAAAGAGAGCCACATAGCTCGAGGGTCCTTCCCCGGTAAAATAAAAAAATGGTTAAATAATAACAATACAAATATAGTTATCGGCAAAAAATTGTGAAAAACTACTTTTTTTAGGTCAACAACTCGGGCCCGTTTTGCAAATGGCGGCCGCCTGCGACATCCTAGCCGGCGAAGATGGGAAACCGCGCGCAAGCCACGCTCGGCAGGACGTGGCTCACGACGACGACGATGCCGCTGGCTCCGCTTACCTGCCGCGGGGGGTCCCAGCAGGATGCCGACGCTCTGGAACATGAGGGTGACGCCGTAGGCGCTGGGCATGCGCGCCACCCCGACGCAGTCGGCCGCCACGGGCATGACGAGGGAGCGGCACGAGCCGACGAAGAGGCCGAAGCACACGGCGTAGACGAGCAGCGTCGGCAGCGTGCGGCACAGCGGGCCCGTGAAGAGCGTGAGCGCGCACAGCGCCACGCAGATGGTGTAGAAGTCGAAGCGGCTCACGAGCTTGAAGTCGGAGAGCCAGCCGGCGGCGACGCGCGACGCCGTCTCCACGCCGCCGATGACGGAGAGGAGCAGCGCGCCGCTCGCCTCGCCCACGCCCAGCTCGCGCGCCCGCGCCGCCAGGTGCACGTACGGGATGAGGTAGCCGAACGAGAAGAGCGTGTTGGAGACCAGGAAGAGCGTGAACTGCTCGTTCCGGAAGAGCGTCGGGTCCAGCAGCTTGTGGAGCCGCGAGCGAACGTGCTGTGCTGGCGCCCGTACAGGGAATGCTCCTCCGGCGGCTGCCGCGCGGACCGCAAGCCGGCGTCGGGTTCTTCGGGCGGGAGGACGATGCGCGTGGCGGCGGCGGCCGACTTGCCGGCGCCGTCGGCCGGCTTGCCGGCGCCGTCGGCGCGGCCGCGCGAGCGCTGCTCGGCGAGCGCGAGGCGGATGTTGGCGAGGCGGCGAGGCGGCGCGTCGGGGCTCGGGGCGACCACCTCGGACTTGAGGTACAGCGGGCGGATGACGGCGCCGCACGCGCACACGTTGAGCATGCCGCCGCCGATGAGCAGCAGGGAGCCGCGCCACCCGTACTGCTCGATGAGGAACTGCGGCGGAGGGCGGGAGGGGGCGAGACGGAACGTTACTGAGGAGAGCGCCGTGTCGGTGTCGCGAGGCATTTCCCAGGATCGTCCTTTCTCTTGAGGTCGCTGTCCTGGGAAATTTATGTCTGCCCGGGACACGAAAAGTCTTTGGGTGGGTTTTTTTGTGTCAGTTGCATAATAATTCCCAACTCAAGACATCGCATTCACGTGCAGGTCTTCTTCCTTGATCCGCTATTCTTAGATATTTTGAATGTCCAGATATGTTCTGGGTTTTTGTTGTGCCTCCGAAGCGGCAACAGAGACAGCTTTTATGATGACATGAGGACACCGGATCAGTCACGGTACTTGGAATTTCACAAGGCAGTCGAAAATGTTTTGTAATTGAAATTTAGTGTTAACCCATTGAATGGTTCTGTGTTGTCACCTTACTTGGCCATTCCCTGACATGGCATCTTGCTCTGCTGAGTAAAGGCATTCACAAATGACTGCTACTACAATTGGGATACAATTGGTAATAAAAGCCAATCAATAATTACAACTAAGATTACAATGTCAGACATAACTTGTCAACAGGGTGTAATCAATACAAACTCTGTATTATGCCTTGATCAGTGTTTTTTTTTGCATGCGAGAGGAAATGGGTGACCCCACGGGTATTCAACTTTGCGTACCTTGCAGAAAAAAAGCAAATCGTGGCACTTTCTAGACTACCATATATATATTGGGTAGCTTGCATTTGAGCAGTTCGGGAGTCCCCAGCGCATGATGAAATCTGCGATCCACCCAACTTGGGATTTCAGGCATTTGCTGAACAATTGAGATGCATTTATTTTTGAAAAACATCTCAGGGCTGCTGAAATAACTCTTAACGAATAAATGACTCCATGAATGAAAGTTCAAGACACGCGGGTGACCGCACACCTGGAAGAGCGGTGCGAGGATGAACGAGGCGCCGCTGCCGCACACCCCGATTCCGGCCGCAAACGCTCGCCGCTTGTCAAAGTAGCGCCCCACCTCGGCGTTGGTGAGCGTGTAGGCGATGCCGCTCCCAACGCCTGTTCGTGGGGCAGTGCACGGCGGGGTCACTGAGGTCAGGAGGTCAGCTGACTCGGGTAGGGGAGGGGGGGGGTTAACGTTACCACATTTTTGGAAGGGCTCAACTGGGGAACCCGGCGACCCAGCTTCCATTCCGGTCTCATGGTCAACACCCAGTGACGATTATCTGAACTGGTCCTGGGCCTCCCCTAGATAGACTCAGCCCTAAACGAGTACCTGGTGCGGTGTGTAAACATCGCCACTGGGGAGACAAAGGCGGTCGGGCGCGGTGCTGGCCACCCACCCCCACGTGTGCTGTGCCGGTCTTCATAGGTGCTCGCTAACAGCACTCGCCCCAACAGCCTGTTAAAGGCTACACAGGGGATCTGTGTCTTGTTGTCAACTGGGACATACGGTGAGCTGGCATTCCCCATTAGCCCCGCCCACTTTACAATAGCCACGCCCACTATTCAGGTAGGCCCGCATCATGAATCGAGTGTAAGGCCAAAACTCCCTGAAAAAGGCAGCGTCATTGACGTCATTGACGAATGTGTTAAATTTTGTGTTGAGTTAAGCGGTGCCCTAAGGCCAGGGGTCTGCAAACCAAAATTACAAGAAGGGCAATTTTTTTGTTCAAATTGGGTTAAAAAAAAATAAACCCCCTCAATATTTCAAGAGCCGCAATGCGATGTGAATAAAGCCACGGAGCAGTCCTGAAAGAGCCACATGCAGCTCCTACCCCTGCCCTCGGCAAACCAGGTTTGTTTGTTGGCGGACATCCGTGAAAAAAGCGCACTGCAGCTTATCGGATTTCTCCAGGATAAATGAAGATTTCTGAGCCGGCTGGTCAGGATTGGGGAAAAACGTAGCCCCCTTTCACCCAGGCAACTGGAGAGCTTTACTCGGTGCCTATGCCAGAGTCCTATATAGACCCTGTGTTCGAATTCCAGTCTGCCACTTGCTCAACATCAATTGCGTTGTTGTTCTCAGCCTCATCACGAAGAACCGCACGTTGAAATGTTTACGTGTAAGCCAAGTGTCGATTCGCCTGTCGAAATTGCCTCATAATCATTGAATTATTTGCGTCAAACTTGAGCGTCGAATTCGGCAACGTTCCTGCGCAGAGCAATGTTGGTGCCGTTATCACGTGTTGTGCAAATATCGCTTGTTAATAAAGTCAACTTCGTCGCTTTTGTTTTTACATTACACGCTTTCATTTAACTCACACTCTCTGTTGTTGTTGTATGCTCAAATCTTGTAACTCAATTTTAACACACTTCCCAATGTGGCATCGACTGCAAACGTGGTATACTTATGTCATACTGATGACAATACTATATTCTATCGTAAAAAATAAATATTTATAAACAATCTTTTTTTATATGTTATGTTTCGGCTTGGGTCTAATTGTCCACGCTCAACTGACGTTGGCTGTAATTGCCCACGGCCCCCCTTACGTTGTGGCAAGCTTCGGGGCCACTTCCTGGAATCGTGGAGTTCTTCCATTACTTGTACATTTCATAAAAGCGTGTTTTATTTTAAAGTTTTTAAAAATATTGCTTATTTTATTTTATTTACAAACTAATCACGGCCCACGTAGTCGATCACTAACACACTCTCCTCTCGTCTGGATGGGCCGTGGTAGGCCAGCAGAGCATCGAGGGCAAGAAAATATGGCACCCCAAAGTCTCTGAATGAAAACAAAGATTGTGATGCATTGCAGAGACGTAAACAAAGATTGTGAGTCGTTGTAGAGACGTAAACAATTATTGTGAGGCGTTGCAGAGACGTTAACAAGGTGACAGTGAGATAACGTGAGAGAGATACATAGGTGTACGCGGCTGTTTCAGAGTGTTCGCCTCTAATCCGAATTCAATTCGCAGTGAGGGCTGATGTCAGTTGCGAGTGATATTTCTTTCAACCAGTCCTGGGTACCCGCATTCACCAAACCACACTGGCCAAGACAAGGTGAAGTATGTCTTGAATTTCCCATGATTAATTAAAAATAAAAAAAAATCTGTCGCTTTCTTCTCCACGTCAATTTCCTCTCTCTCTTTCTATTTCCCTGTATTCGCCTCGCATTGCAGGCCGTTTTTGCAGCAGCTTCTGCTGCACAGGGACACCTACCACTGTGGGTCCCCCTAGGCGTTGATCGCCGTAGAGCGATGGAATGGGTTGAGCTGAAGATGCAGGACGACGCTTTAAGAATTTTTTTTTCCTTAAAGGCCTTTTCTCCTGGTTAATTTTGTTATGTGTTCTAGGAGTGTGTGTGTGTGTTGGGGGGGGGGGAGGGTATTTGCATCCGTGGTTAAATCACGAGCTCGCGTGCTTAGCAGATGTTTTAGAATTGCGTGAGTTGTTTACTTGCTTTTAGCTCTGTGCGGTGCCTTGCGACCTTGGGGTGAGAGAGGCGCTTCGCAACCGCGCACTATTCTGATTGTTATTTTGAGTTTTCGCGATGCAGATTCCCCCATCCATCCTCTCGCGCGCACGCACTCACCCGTGACGAAGCCCACCGTGACGTAGAGATGCGTGATGTCCTGCGCCAGCATGCCCAGCATGGTACCCACGCCGCAGATGAGGCCGCCGACCATCACCACGCTGCGACTCGAGAAGCGAGCGGAGAGCGCCACGGCGAGGGGACCTGCGCGGGAGGAGGGCGCCGAGGGACCCGGCACGAGATGGGAAGTCAAACGGGGCGACGGAGGCCCTGCTGAGCGGCAAATCCTTATCTGTCAACGCCTTATCAGTGCCCTACCTTATTACAGAGCAATCCAGACCTTATTGGTCACCCCGTGCCCCTTGTAAATCTCAAGGCTCATCCCATCACAAGGGAGAAACACAAACAAATAGACGCAACTTTTTTTTTTGCCCGTATTGAAACGGCTGCACGCCGTATGAACCTGAAAACTCAATTTCCCTGTACAAGAATAAGAGTGAACTGTATGGATGGACAGGTATGCATACCTTTTTGCAAGGAATCAAGTCTGCATTCACCACACGTACTTGTCTCTGGTGTAGGCCAATGGGTCTCAAAGACAATCCCGTATATTATCAGAGCATGTTACATTTAAAGCTTTCGTGACTGCAGGGATTAATCTTCTTGGTTCTTTCGGTAAATTCAAGTAGAAGGGAAATAATAAAATAATAATAGTAAAACATAATAAAATAAAATTCTCACGACGTTTCGGCCACAACACAAGCAGCCGTCCTCAGGTGAAGAAACAGAACTGCCAATGAACACTGCTAAGCTTGTAACTGTACATCAGCATGATGTACATCATGCTAATCTCCCAGTTACATGCTAATTTCTGACTTTAACATCCTGCTAATCTCTCACATTAACACAGCTACTTCTTTTATACTTTTACGTGACTTTACCGAATAGAACCAAAGAGTATGGATCCTTGCAGTCACGAAAGCTTCAAATCTAGAACTAAATTCTTCTGTTGATATGTAAACTCCTTTGTCAAGGCGCTCTGCTCCTCCCACCCAGCTTAAAAGACGCTGCCAAGCTTAGCAGTGTTCATTGGAGCGCTGTCTTCCCGACAGCTCTGTTTCTTCACCTGAGGAAGGCTGCTTGTGTTGTGGCCGAAACGTCGTGAGAATGTTATTTTATTATTTTTATTATTTTATCAAGTGTAAATTTTTTTATTATTTTATTATTTCCCTTCTACGTGACTTTACCTAAATAACCAAGAAGAGCATGTTCTTATTCTTAGTTCTTTCGGTAAAGTCACGTTTATATATATTTTATTATTTTGTTGTTTCCCTTCAACGTGACTTTACCGAAAGAACTAAGAATATGAATTACTGCACTCACGAAAGCTTTAAATCTAAATTTAAGAGCATGTTCTGTTTGCATGTTCCTCACAAGTACTGCGTGTGGCTAATGCAGTAACTTGATTCCTTGCCAAAGCGATCTATTTGGTGTTTGAACATCTTTACACCTGTTTTATTGCCAAAAACGGTAAAACCTATTCTTATTTTTCATATCAACACAGACAACAATATTTACGCAGAGGTACTGCAGGGAATTGCAATGTTCGGCGAGCTTTACTTGAAATCTCCTCCACTTGAGCCAGCGGAGGAAATTCCACATTCCTATGACAGAGGACAATAACTGGTGCAAGATAACCACTGTTGATTTTCACAAAGCGGTCCTAATTTTATTGACCCAGGGGTGATGCTTCGCTGAGTAGACCACTGGCCAGGATGTGAACTCGGGAACTTTCTAATTATGATTCTCTGGCCCTAAATGTATTTGTTAATGACAATGTCTATTGCTCATCCGGTTGATATTCCCTTAAGACAACCTGGTGCTTTTCTAACTGAAGGGGTTTCGGAAGGACGTCTCTTCATGCCTCTGATAAGGGCACCATGTTTGTGTCTGTCCACTCCTGGATGAGAGCCGCCCCGCATCGTGCAATTCGCAGGGGTTAAAGGTTGTGGACCGTATTGCACCACGCTGTCCAGTGTGGCTCATTGAATGCGGGCAGCGTTGACATTGGAGCATAGCAGAAGTGCAGAACAACAGTGGGGGTTTGCTGCGCCGCCTTCTGGTGTCTGACAGGTACCCCTTCCCCCCAAGCATCCGTAAGGATGATTTGCATTGATTTAGTATCCAACGTCTCGGAAACTCGAAGCGCCTTACATCACATTTCATCTCAACCATTGCAATGCCCTGCTGCGGTTTAGCCAAGGGGACCCCCTAGTGGCAGCTGTCCCTTGGCTGCACGAGGTGTGCACATCGCCGGCCCGATGCTGCCGGTAGGGAGCAGACTGATGTGAGCGCCGCGCGGTGTTCGCCCACGGCATGTGGTGGATGACGAAGCGACGGCTCAATCGCCGAACCCACCGATGAAGAGGGACACGCCGTACATGATGGAGTTGATCCAGGCCGTGCGGCTGCGGCTCTCATCAAAGTAGTCGATGAACTCGACGAAGAAGACGCCGAAGCTCTTCTGCACGCCGTGCGTGAGCGACGTGGATATGAAGCAGCTGGCCACCACCACCCAGCCCCAGCCGCCATCCGGGGGGTTCTCGAAGCGTCTCGCGCCCATCGTCCGCCGCTCGAGAGGCACGGTCCTCGCGGTGGGGCGCCAGGCCGCTTGGGATGGACGCACGGGCGAGCGGAGTCGCCGACGACTGCACAGCAACGACGGTATCAAAAACAACGTAGTGCATAAACTAAGCAATTTTTCAAAATTTTATTTTACCAGGTTAAGGCCCACTAAGATATTTAGCTATATTTTGAGAGGTGAACTGGCCACAAATGAAAGCTCAAATAAGTTTCTCTATCATCACGTGCAAATTTATAGCAGCCAAATAGTGTAAACGCACGTTGATTTTAAATGTGGAGGGAAAACCGGAGCATCCGGAGGAAAATCCAAATGACTACGGGGAGAACATGCAAACTCCAAATATACTGGTCGGGATTGAACCCACAACCTCCTGTATGCCAGGCGAGGCGGTTAACATCTAATTTGTTCCTGCACTATATTATTTCCACTTATTCCCTGGTTCAAGATCAATATGTCATCATGGCCAAAGTTATTGATGCGAGGACATCTCGCGAACGCTTTCTACCCTCCGCCAGATTCTCCAGCTGTTGCACAGAAGACACGCGACCTCCAATATCGGCCCCAGCAGTATCCCACCATCTGCTCTTAGGTCGAGTTGCCACACTCTTGGAGGCTACTCGACTGCCTGTATCAGTAACCTGCCCTTCTCCATGCTCACTGATAAGTGTTACTCCCTCATATGTATGGGTTTTCTCTGGCTTTTCTGGCTTCTTTCCACACAAACCCAAATACTCAAAAATTAAATTCGCTAAGTATCTGCTGAAAGAACATTCCTGAGATTCACTGAGATATTCTTGAGTATATAATTGGCATTGTTATGAATAGAAAGTCAAGTTGTCTCCATACTTAAGGCAGTAAATCCGATATTCCAATAATCATGCCAAGTGTTTCCATATTTAAACCCACTGTTGATGTCCCAAGAGGTGATGCTTATTTGTATCTCTCCCAGAGGTATGATGGGCGAAGCTGACCTGCGACTTTAATTTGAGCTCCATATTGCAATTCTGAGATTACGTGACCAGCGTTTAAATGCAGCTGCATCTCAAGAGGTGGGTTCGGTACCACGCTGCCACTTCCCCGGTTTCCGTGGGAGGGTTTGAATGACCTCGAAGGCGGTCTGTTGACCTGGCTTAGCCGGCGGTCTGAGGACACTGCAGTGTGCAAGCGATGAGGCTGCTTTCTGGCTCGGCGCAAACGCCACACACCAAATAAGGAATCACCTTGTTCTCGTGCTGCAGTCTCCGTGTGCTGTCGCGTCAGGCGCTGAGCCTCGAGGGAAGTGACTCGTGGCAATGGGCCGCACCAGCTCAAGATGTTCCGCTGCAAGGCATCAAACTTGAGCACAAACACGTGGTGTTGGCGCGTATTCCACCGCTCTGCTGACACGGCGGATCGTGCTGAACTCATGTTCTCGAGACAGCTTTCTATTTTTTAAACTATTACAACAAATTTTTTAAAAATTCATTTTACCAGAAAAAGCCCACTGATCTACGTGGATCCTTTTCAGAAGTGACCCTGCCCACAATTATAGCTCAACGAAGTGGCTTATCACGTGGAAATGTATAGCAGCCAAATACTCCAAACGCCTGCTTCTAAATGTGGAGGACAAAACCGGAGGACCCGGAGACAAATCCACACGACCACGGTGAGAACATGCAAACTAAATTTACAGGCGTCAGGGTTGGTATCGAAACCACGACCTGCATACCAAGCGAGATAGGTTACATCTCACCACCATGACGCCCTTGCAGAGCGATGATGTGGCGGGTAGCGTAGTACTTGGTTTACCCATCAACTGAGCCAATTTGTTCAAACAAATAGATTGGATTGCTGAACCTGGTTGGTAATTTTACATTGATTTCGGTCATCATTCCCTATGAACCACTTTTTCTCATTTTAACCTACTGCATACCACATTCTACTATCTCACGTGAAAATGTGTAGTGTGGACATCCTTAGCAGTGGTGCTCATTTAATCCATACAGTAAGAATTATGGACTGAGTCAACTCTTGACCGTGTTTGAACCCAATGACTTGATCGCGATTTGTGCTCTCTGATTGGAGTGCCAGCCAAACGGACGTGGTTAAAGGTTAATTTTACTTTAATAGGTCACGATGACTTGCTCGGAATTAATATGTCCGAAGGTTACGCGGACGTGTCCCCAGTGTGCAACACGTCGATACAAACTAAAAGTTATATTATAGATTAACAAGCATGGGCAGGGTGACTGGGTTTATCCAAGTACAAACACTGATAGATTACTTAGATGTCAGGACGGTGGTGCAGCACACGGGTTAATACATTCACTCAGACAATGGGTAACTGCTTACTCGGTCGTACAGCAGGGGCTTCCGAGCTGAAGAAATACGTTGAATTCTCAGCCGGGAGTCGACTCAGCCCATCGATAGCGCTGCTAATGGGAGCGCTCTGTTGGATGAGGTCGCAGGGAACCCAGAAAGCGAGCGTTGTGTTAAAGATAGACCTGGTTCCACCATAGGAATGTGACATTTCAACACTCGCGTACAATCAACAGTGGGGATAGACGCTGTCCAATACTAAAGAGAGAGTGAGAGAGATCATGGAGATTATTTGAATCCCTAGTGAGTGACTGCCGGTCCGTACACACTTGTGGACTTGCTGTCAGTCGTCCAAATGAACCTTATTATGAAAAGCTAAGGGTCGATATTTACCGGTGGTTGTGTACGGAAGGTCTGACAATAACGTCGTTTAACACCACCATCATTGAATAATAACCCATAACTCTGTGTCATGCCCCATGCGGCACTGTAGTTAAATATTATTTAGTTTATCTCATGGGAAGGCTACAGTGGTAATCTAGTAGAGAGAGAGACTCTGTCCTGTTTATGCAATGAGGTTTTGTTGAAAAGAGATTTATATACGAAGGTGAAAGTTCACCTATTGTACCACACCCTGCTAGATGGCCTTCAAGTACTGCACATAAACAGCTGTTTTCTCGCTTGGAGATGAGTCGGCCGTACCGGTGAGATGTAAATATTAGCCTGGGTTGCATAGGCGGAGTTTGACTTCTATATTTGGGGGGAAGGGGAGGGGGGGCAGACGTTCGCTTTGTCCTTCACATTAGGAATCGCGGGTGCATATAATTCATTTACTTTCTAAATCTTAATTGTAAACTACTGAAAATAAATTAATAAAGGTGTGCAGTTTGGGGGGGGGGGACATTGCCCATCCCCCCCTGTGCCCCCCACCCCCCATGCTGTGCCCCCCACCCCCCATGCTGGATCAATATTGGAAAAAGTGTCCCAAACAGCACGAGAATCATTGCTAAGATTTTTCCCGTTTATTTTATTTCTTCACATTTGTTACGTTTATGCCATTTTTATGTATTGTGCGTTTGTCATTATATTAAATCGTTTGTTGTTAGAGTGATAAGTCAATAAATATATCGTAGTCTGTGTTTTCCGGTTGCCTGGGTGAAGAGCGGCCTATATGTCCTTGCCAAATCCGGGCCAGCTGGCTCAAAAATTCAACAGAGACTGTTCCCCACCATGAGAATGTGGAATTTCCAACCATTGCCTCAGTGAACTCAAGGGAGGCGAATGTGGTCTGGCCGCTTCGTCTTACGAGCAGCAGTGCACTGGGTGACATTTCCCTCTTGACGATTGCTTGTTTTCATCGCATTCTCCCCGCAAACCAAAAAATAAACGCCGTGAAGTCTCCATTGCCGACAATGGATTCTGCCACGCGTTTTGAGGAACATCTTACGATGAAGAGCAAGCCACCGAGAAGACAATATGATCTCCACATCATTCGACCTCCTTTGCCAGTACAAAATATAAGAGTAGGGGTTTTCCCCCTTTTTTCTGGCAACAAAACTGAAACCTTTTTTTTTACAAGGAATCACGTGATGCATTAACCACAATACTTGTGGTCAAAATGCAAGCAAAAAAAACACTCTGATAATATGATGCATTGTCCTTGAAACTGATTGGTCCACACCAGAGACGGCTTTCTTTTGAGCCTCGTCTCAATTGGTGCTAGACCAGAGGACGCCAAAAGGCCTTTTGGCGCCAAAAGAAAGCCGTCTCTGGTGTGGACTAATCAGCTTCAAGGACAATGCATATATTATCAAAGTGTGTGTTTTTGTTTGCATTTTGACCACAAGTATTGTGGTTAATGCACGCAAGATTCCTCGTAAAAGGGTTTCAGTTTTGTTGCCAGAAAAAAAGGGGAAAAACCCCTATTCTTATGATCTCCTCACTTTGACTTGACTACAGCAAGATGCGTGAACTCGGAAGAAGACTATCCGGGCAAGGTAAACAAAGCGGTTCTCGAAGAATGCACGTTAATGGTCTGATTTGACTTCACCAACTTGGAATTACAACCCAGCCAATATTTGACTTTTGCAATTAAAAGTGTACGTGACTTTGAAATATAATAATAATTCAGTTTAGCCAGGAAAGCCTCACCAAGTCTTAAGAATGTTAGGCCAATCTCATTAATGAGCGTTCGGCTTGTTCAGAGAGCCAGATTGTAACAATATTTACACTCTGGTTCTGTGATCTGTTAGCTTCTATCATATGGTCGATAACGAGGGTCAAGGGGCCTTTTTCATATTACGTAAGTTTATTCCCCCCACCCCCGCAATGCCGATTGGCTACGTAGGGTGCGAAAGAAGTTCAACATACATGATACATACATGTGCTACGAAGAGGGGCCATTGCCCAAAATGTCACCTATCATGTTTTTTTGTAATTTAAGGCCACAGTTTTATTGACGAATGTTTTTTTTTTGTTGTGTTTGTGCACCACGAAGCAATGTGACAGCAGCATCAGCAAGTATTTTTTTTAAAATAAGAGATTAAATTCATAACCCCCCCCCCCACCCCAGTTACATGAAACGCTTTGAATTATTTTCGGCTGTCGCTGCCATAAATGACAAACTCTGGGAAATGGTCACTTCAGCGGTATCTCGTACCGGCTGGTGCATGTGCTGCAAGGAAGCGACTTGTTCTAGACACCAGAGCCGAATCACAATAAAGTTCCGGTGATCAGTTTCTTTTTGTTGTTGCCAAAAACCAATCGGTAACTCTTGCTCTTCCACCAACATGTTAAAGAATCCCAGCATTTTTTTATGATCAAATGTACTTTTTTTTAAAAAGAGAATGGCTAAAATTGAGCACCTCCTTTTTTAACAGGTCAACAGGAGAGACTGACCCTCTCCATATGAATTTGGAATTTACAAACCAGCTCTTGGCTGCGAATAAAACTAAGCTTCACCTACCACTCGCGGGAGAAAAGGAGACTCGAAAACTTTGAACTATAACAAAACGATTCACGAATGCAAAAAAACTCAGCTCACCGTCGTGCTCAACTCACATCTGGTGGCGACGTTGCCATTCACGAATACAAAAACTCAGCTCACCGTCGTGTTCAACTCACATCTGACGGCGCCGTGTGACCCCAACGGTGGCGAGGATCCCCGTTCCCGCCGCGCTCGCGATTCCGTGGAGCGCGCCCTAACCCCTTGCTGGCGATGGCGAAGCCGGCCGGGTTTTAAAGTGCGTCCCTGGAACGCAGATAACAACAACAACACCACCACCACACACACACAAAAAACCGCTGAGGCTTGCACGTTGGGCGGCACCCTCCTCCCTCACCTCGCTCCGGGGGATGGAGCAAAGGTACCGTTCCATGGATGCGAGCACATACCGACCGCCAAACGCGCCCTCCTCCCTTCCCCGTCGGCGCCGCCCCTTAATGATTCTCTCGTGCTCTCTTTACCTCGGGGAAAATCCTACCCGTTCCAAGACGAACGTTGTTCGCAAAAGACGTTCGAGACATTTAAGCGACTTGCTTGAGCGTGTCTGCGACGTGCGGGAGGAAACTGGAGTGCCCATCGAAAAAAAAAACCCGCACACACACCCCATGCATATGCAATGCTGGGGTGTTACGTGTTCCACATGTAGACATTCCAGTAATCTACCGAAGCCGGTAACTGCTGATGAGGCATTATAATTTAATGTTCAGCGTGTTATGAGGTCACTGTTACGGTGTTTAATTTTTGAAAATTAAGTTTATGGAATTGGTTTAATTCAAAAATGAAACAAATGCATATTTTTCCACGTCACACTTAAAATGTGAAAATGACTCGCATATCAGTAGCGTGGGTTAAACGCCAGGAAAGGGTGAGGCAATGCGTGCAGGTCATGATACGCAGCCTACTTTAATAGCGTTCCTTGTGAGGTCAAATCAATCTCATATCAATGTGGAAAAAAGTGTGTTATTATATAAATGATTGAATAATCTTATCTTTCCAAATTATAAAACATGGGGTTGAAGCCACATTTTCGGTGCAGCCTTATGCAAGTCCAGCGTGTGTGGAGGGTCCATGCCATCTCTGTGTGATCCACTAACCCCGTCTGCCAGTCTCCGGATTACTCTCTGCCGCACCTCCAAACGGCGCCGTACAATTAAAGTCGCATCCAAACGCAAGATGAGCACGCGCGCGTGCGTGTGCGTGTGTGCGTGCGTGTGCGTGTGTGTGCGTGCGTGTGTGTGTGCGTGTGTGTGTGCGTACGTGTGTGTGCGTGTGTGTGTGCGTGCGTGTGCGTGTTATGTGTCGTACTCGCGTGCTCGCTAACAGCACATTTGCCAGCGGTGTGTGTGCAGGCTACACGGGGGATCTTTGTACTGCCGTATGCTGTAAATAACTCAGCATATTATAAGTGTTGTTACTAACATACACTTGCATTTTTTTATCCTGTGTGAACATTACTGCTTTTTACTGAAGTCAGACTGAACCTTAGCAGTAGTAATAATAAAATTACATTAACCAAACACATTTCACAACACTTCTCCCAAGGCATCGTACACTCTAAACAAGAGTGCAAATTAACTCCAAAGCCACAACTGTAAATTGATGTGACTGTTTAAAAACGGGATTTTTTTACTATTATATAAAAGTGTACTTTTATTTTAAAAAATAATACAATTTAAAAGTATGAGGTTAAATAAATGAATGTTAAGACGTTATTTAGAATCAGAATATTTATTCATTCTGGAGGAATCCGATGAGCTATGAAGCTCTTCTTCACAGATGTCCAGTAGGGGCGGGATAAGAACGTTACAAGAACAAACAGTTACAAAATCACGATAGTTGTGCAAAGTACAAGAAAGGTCAACAAATGACCCAAACACAAAATAAAACTACACCATCCCCAAGGCAAAGCCCACCGATATATTAACTTGTTTTTCAGAAGCGACCTGGCCACAAATTATAGCTCAACAAAGTGGCCCATCATTTGGACATTTCTAGCAAGCAGAGATCTAAATAATCTGAATGCATGTTTCTAAATGTTTCTAAATGTGGAGGGAAAAACCGGAGGAAAAAATGCACACGACCACGGGGAGAGAGAGACATGCAAATTCCAAATATTGAAAACCATTGCTGGACTGAGTTCCATGCTTGGCATGGGGAGTGAGTTCCATGCTTGGTTTGGTCGAGTAAGTTCCATGCTTGGCATGGGGAGTGAGTTCCAGGTTGTCTTGGAGAGTGAGTTCCATGCTTGGCATGGGGAGTGAGTTCCATGCTTGGCATGGGGAGTGAGTTCCAGGTTGTCTTGGGGAGTGAGTTCCAGGTTGTCTTGGGGAGTGAGTTCCAGGTTGTCTTGGGAGTGAGTTCCAGGTTGTCTTGGGGAGTGAGTTCCAGGTTGTCTTGGGGAGTGAGTTCCAGGTTGTCTTGGGGAGTGAGTTCCATGCTTGGCATGGGGAGTGAGTTCCATGCTTGGCATGGGGAGTGAGTTCCAGGTTGTCTTGGGGAGTGAGTTCCAGGTTGTCTTGGGGAGTGAGTTCCAGGTTGTCTTGGGGAGTGAGTTCCAGGTTGTCTTGGGGAGTGAGTTCCAGGTTGTCTTGGGGAGTGAGTTCCAGGTTGTCTTGGGGAGTGAGTTCCAGGTTGTCTTGGGGAGTGAGTTCCAGGTTGTCTTGGGGAGTGAGTTCCATGGTTGAGGGCCATGAACACTTCGGTTGAACTCCATGAGGCGAGCGAGAGGCAGAAAAATATCACGGACGGGGAGCGAGCGAACACGCAGTTCTCACAGACTCTGAGGGCGCCATCGCATTTAAAGCCGTCATGGTTACAAGGAAACTCCCTACATTTGATTCTTCTGCACCACAGAGGTAGTTTAGAACAGGAATGATGACTACGTTGAGTATTGAACGCGGGCAAGCACCGTTCTTCAGGACCTCTTCGACGCTACGCGTGAGGTCATCAGGAGGCCCAACGGACATTCTTGTACTCGAATGGTCTCCTGCATGTGTTGTATCTTTTTCCATTAATTGTTAAAAAATATATATATAATAATGGTGAATTTCTGTGTTGGGCGAGGTGACTGACTGCCCAGTAAACATGCCAGCATTGGGCCAATGTTGGCACGTGATTGGAACAGTTGTCCAGACGTTGGCCCATGTTCACTGGGTTGGTCGCTCATTGAACATCGGTGTCATCCAAGCACAGCCTGGAGTTTAGATCAGTTTGCAGATGTCTGCGTTCTTGTGAGCCATTTTGCTTGTTTTAAGTCTTGTATGGATCTGCATCTGTGATTGTAACCTCTGTGGGGAGCGGTGATGTAGTGGTTAGCGCGCTGCGCTACGAACCCGGCGACCCGGGTTTGATTCCCGCTCACGGCCAACACCAGTGACGATTATCTGAACCGGTCCTGGGCCTCCCCTAGGTCGACTCAACCTCAAATAAGTATCGTCACTGGGGAGACAAAGGCGACCCGACGTGCTACTGGCCACCCACTCCCTCGTGTGCCGTGTCGGCCTTCATAGGTGCTACTCGCTAACGGCACTTGCCCCAACAGTCTGTTGAGGCTACACGGGGTATCTTTGTCTTTGTAACCTTTTCCCTATTTACCCCCCCCGTCCCCCACTTTCTCTCACTCACATGTCTCCCCTGCTTTCTCAAGCTAAACAACAACAAGGTCTGCTGTGCAGAGATATCTTGTGTTTTCTTCTGCCCCTAAAGCACACAAGCAGCTTTGATTTTGTGCAAACAGTTGTAAAACATTGCCAGTGACTTACGGACTAGTTTTCAGGGAGTGCTGCCCGTCACCTACCCCGTCCTTCACCACACGGTGTGCGTTTTGTCAGCCACACGCGCACACGAAAAACACACCGGACAAAACTCCAGCATGGTTTTAAAAACGAGCTGCACATTTTCACATCTCGTCTCTCTCATGAACGTGGACACGAACAAAAGGACATGGAACGCAAGCTGAACATTGGAAAAGAATCGCGAGAGAGATGCATGCTGGGAATTGCACTGAGAGACGGAAAGAGAAACACGTGGATCGGGGAAGACGCAAATCAGGGACGTCGTATTGGCTCTAACACGTATACGTGTTAAAGTGATAATTGGTAGTTGTTGGTCCAAAGAATGTAATTATGTTTAAGTTAAATAATGCTCTTACGTTTGTGCATTAAAACTAAAACAGTTGTGTTGACAAAATTAGAAGAAGTGATATTTCCCATTTACACAGCGCACTTGTGTTAAATGAATGAACTGCAGTTGTGTTGCTTCTGCAGTACCGCACTTTGGTCAGCAGGTGGAGCTATATCTGTGCATGCGCAGATGGAAAGCACATCCAACGATCAACTTTGATCCTTTAGCTCACTCAAAGTCCCTCATCGCCGTTTTGTGCAGTCAAATGCAACATTTCACAATCAACGTTTTGTCTTTGTGGACACAGAGGTGAGGTATTTTACTTTTTATGCATTTATATAGGCTAGAGGCTGTCAGTAGATGGTTTATCGCGGATGTCGAGTTTTGTATGGTATTTTAATGAAGTTGCCGCATTCCTCGTGTGGTTTTCGCATTTTTCTTTGGTTCTTTCGGTAAAGTCACGTAGAATGAGAATAAAATAATAAATTGATAAAATAACACAATAATATTCTCACGACGTTTCGGCCACAACACAAGCGGCCTTCATCAGGTGAAGGGACGAGACTTATACATGACTTATACACGAAAGCTTTAAATCGAAATTTCGCATTTTTGTTAGTTAGGCCTATAACGTTACATTCGTGTGTTTCGATCTTATGTAATATATATACTTGTTGAACTTTGATGTGAATTTCCCCACACAAAGACACAAATTACTTATTAAATTGCTAGTTAATAAGAGTTTCTCCATTTATGTGTTAACGGATTGTGTGTAATGTTACTGTATTAAGCAAAGCACTTTTTCACATTTTAGTAATGTTATCAGTTTTAATAACTGTCTCAAATAATGGTGTTGAGCATTTTTATTTAATGTCAAATGTTAACACTCAAACTTTGGAAGACCCAAATAACAGCTATAAACACATTTAACACATGAATAAGATGGCATTGATGTTAGCTAACAAGTAATGTAAGCTTGGCGGTTAGGCCTAATCTAAAGTGTAAACTATTTATCAAGGATATATACAGATTTTTACTGTATAGCATACCACTTATTAATAATTTATGAACCTATTAACTAATAATTTATAAATGACTTATATCTGAATTAACAAAACAATACAAACATTTAGCATATCACTTATTAGTCATTTATGAATGTATAGTTATGTTTTGTAAATGATTAGTTAATCATTAACTAATAACCTTATAAGTGACTTATAACTAATTTAACAAAACATTCATAAAATGTTAGCACATTACTTATTAATCATTTATGAATATAGACATGTTTTGTAAATTATTAGTCTATCATTAACTAATAACTTATGTCACTTATAACTGAACGTTATTATATCGTGTTACAGTGTTGTTTATATTATTATTCTTTGGTGACTTACATCTTTTTTTCTCACAGAGTTTTGGAGTTCTAGAGTCCTACATGTGACTGTGCAGAGATTGTGGCTCGTCTCACATATCTAGATCAAAACTTTTAAAACACTTCAGGTTGGTACATGGACAATATGGCCGCAGACACGCATATCCATGCGCATATTCTTACTGTCCATGCACTTTTAAAACCTGGAATGCACTGCGGTCCCACTTATGCAGATCACATGGAAGTGAGCAGCAACCTCAAAACAAAATTCTAGCGAAAGTGCAAAGATAAATTGTCATGTTTGTGGTGTTACTGACATTCCTTCAGTAAATGATTACTTTCTCCACATAAATAAGCATTTGCGCAGTCATGAAACAGTAAGTTGTATGTTTAAGGACTGCTCGTTTAAATCAAATGTGTATAGCACATTCAAATCACATAAGAGGCGAAAACATTGTCAGTGTTCGTTGACTGATTTTAAGGAAGGAATAGTGAAAACACAAGAGGTAAGAGGAATATCTGATGACACTCTTTCAAACGAAGAAATCAATACATCTACGTTAGAGGAGGATTCCAGTTGTATTGATACAGGAGAGGTTCCAGAGAACTTGCCAAAGTTGGTAGAGCTTAAATTTGCTTCATTGGTGTTGAAGCTGGAGAATCACTATCATGTCCCAGGCACAGCTGTCGATGAGTTGTTGGAGGACTTGCATTATTTACTGAGTGATGCTTCCTTCCCTTTGTCATACAGAATTATTGTAGACACCTTACAAAAGCACAGGATTGACAATGATGAGTTTCTAGTCAAAGACCTTGTTAACATCTTTAAGTACAACAAATCTTTTACTTACTGCAATAAAGCATGGTGGTCCACTAGCCTCTGCATTTAAGCGTAAAGAATATTACAGGGACAATTTTTAAAGTTGTAGACTCCGTGGAGTATGTTCTTGAGGCCAAGGGAAACAGAACTTTTCAATATGTTCCAATACTTGAGTCTTTACAGAATCTACTTGGTCAGAATGACCTACTATACAAAGTGGTCGAAAGTCACAGTTCTCAACAGTTAAGAAGAGATGTCCATCAGTACAGGTCAATTCAGGATGGTCAGTTTTTTAAAGCAAATAATTTCTTCTCAGATGAGTTGAGGATATCTGTGTGCTTATATGTCGATGACTTTGAAATTTGTAACCCTCTCGGGACATCAAGAAAGAAGCACAAGATATGTGCAATCTACTGGATTTTGGGTAATGTGCCATCCATGTTTCAGTCAACTTTGTCTTCAATTTATCTTGTCGTTTTGTGCAAAACAGAAGACATGATAACATACGGATTTGAGAAAATCTTGCGACCTCTTTTGCAAGATCTCCAAACTTTGGAACAGCAAGGTGTGTATGTCCACCAGCTGGGAACATTCCTTAAAGGAACAGTTCAATGTGTTGTGGCCGATAATCTTGCTGCACATTCAATGGCTGGCTTCATTGAGAACTTTTCAGGAGAGTACTGTTGTCGATTTTGTACAGCTTCTCGTGCAGATTCTCAGACCAATGAAGTGAATGCAGGTGAATTTACACTAAGGACTGCAGAAGAACACCAAGGACATGTGAAACTTGCAAAGGAGAAAGGTGTGAATGTCATGGCTGTGAAAAAAGTATGTGTTTTCAGTGACAGCCTTAGCTACTTTAATGTTACAACAGGCTATCCTCCTGATTTGGCTCATGATCTTTTTGAAGGCATAGTACCAGTTGAGCTGGCAGAGTGCTTTTCTGTAGTTATTTCAATATAAGATATTGTCTCTTGATCTGCTCAATGAACTCATCCATAATTTTCCGTACAAGTGGGGTGATAAGACAAATCGACCTCAATTGGTGCCACAGACATTTGCAAGGAGAAAATCAGTTGGTGGCAATGCGCATGAAAATTAGTGTCTGTTAAGACTGCTGCCATTTATTATTGGGCATTTGGTGCCTGCAGATGAACCTGTGTGGCTTTTGATTTTAGACTTGAAGGATATTGTGGAACTGGTTGTGTCTTCAGTTCATACAGATGAGACCATTGCATATTTGGAATGCAAGATCTCTGAACACCGTCAGAAGTATCAGGAGCTTTTCCCACTTAAACAGCTGCTTCCAAAGCATCACTTTTTGGAGCACTATCCAGAAATGATTCGCTGCTTTGGTCCTTTAGTTTTTCTTTGGACATTGCGTTTTGAAGCTAAGCATAGCTACTTCAAACAAGTAGCTAGGCACACAAATTGCTTCAGGAACATAACACTAACTTTGGCAAGAAAACACCAATTGATGGTTGGATATAGCCTCCACATACCCAGCCCTGAAAAGACCACCTTACAGGTCACACGTGTCTCTACCATCACGGTTGAGGTCATGAAAGAGGATGTCGTACGTTGCCTTAATTCTAGATATCCTGGCATCACCACTGTCAATGTTGCTCAGAATGTTTCTTATGATGGCATTATGTATCGAAATGGCATGATAATTGCCCATGGGTCTCTTGGTGGACTTCCAGAATTTGCAGAAATTGCTCAAATTTGTATCATCGAAGACAACCTTGCTTTCATTGCCAATAAAATGTGTTCATGGTAACGAGAGCACTTCAGGGCGTTTGAATTGGTACCAACTCTTGAAATGTGCTTAATTACCCTCAATGAAATTTTGATTTAAAGCTTTCGTGACTGCAGTAATTCATATTCTTAGTTTTTTCGGTAAAGTCACGTTGAAGAGAAACAACAAAATAACAAAATATATATAAAAAATAAAAAATTCTCACGACGTTTCGACCATAACTCAAACGGTCATCATCAGGTGTGTCGGTTTGCATAAATTTATTTTGAAAAGGGATATTTATTTATTTATTTATATATAACAAATAACGTTTGCGTCACGCGCAACGATTGGCAGTTTGCCAGGACTAGTCCATCTATTTTTTGAAAAGAGGAGGGGGGAGACGAAATTTGTTTTTATGTATGTTGTCTGAAAGCCACTGTAAGCGTGAACAATCAATCAAGAACTGAAATGATTTATCAAATCTTTCCAATGATTGCTAAGATAGAATCCATCTTCTCGGTTGAAATTGTCTCTGTGCTTGTATATGTGGATAGCCTCATGAACGAATCTCTCATGGAAGCCAGATGGCTTACAAAGAACCTCCGTCTTGGAAAAGTCAATGGCATGTGAGCCTACTGAATTAGAACAATGATCTGCTACGGCCGAGGTGTTGGTCCTACCGTGTTTAAGGTCTGCTTTATGTTCACGAATGCGGTCCGAGATATGGCGTTTGGTTTCTCCAATGTAACTACTACCACAGAGGCAACTTAGTTTGTAGACACCAGGGTATTGTATGTCCGGAATCACATCTTTTACAGACGGAACCAGATCACGGATTTTATGTAATGTGTTGAAACGGACCTGGATCTTGTGTTTATTCAAGATTTTGGAGATCTTTTTTGTGATCCCAGCAATGTAGGGTAAAGTGATGGTTTTGAAAGGCTCCTCAAGAGGGTTTTTTCTTCATGGTTTGAGTGATAGCTTTGCGGATTGTATAGTCGGAGTAACCATTAGCCCTAAGAGCTTGGTGTACGTGCTTGAGTTCACTGCTTATGTGTTCCTGGTCGGATATGCATTGGGCTCTATGATACAGAGTCTTGATGAGAGAATTCTTCTGTGATGGATGGTGGTGGGAATCCGGTTTCAGATAAGCATCCGTATGGGTAGCTTTCCTGTAGACAGAGTGGCTCATTGAACCATCAGGTCTCTTTTTAATTAGGACATCCAAAAAAGGTATCTTGCCATCTATTTCGACTTCCATGGTAAATCTGATGGCTGGGTGTATGGAATTGATGTGGTCGAAGAATTGGTCTAGAGCAGGCCGGCCATGTGGCCAGATGACAAAAGTGTCATCCACGTACCTCTTCCATAAGGTTGGGCGCAGAGTGGCAGTCTGGATGGCGTCAGTCTCAAATTTCTCCATGAAAATGTTAGCTATAACTGGAGAAAGGGGGGAGCCCATTGGGGTGCCCTCAGTTTGTTTGTAGAAAGTTCCATTCCAAGTGAAGTATGTATTGGTTAAACAGTGTCTCACCAGGGGGGGTACCTCAGTGTTTAGTCCTTGATGAACCAAGTCTTCAATGATTGCAATGGTGTCAGGTACAGGAACCTTGGTGAATAAGGAAACTACATCAAAACTGACAAGCAGGTCGTCTGGGGACAGGGAAATACCCTTGATTGTTGATACCAGGTGAGTAGAATTTTGTACCGCAGAGGTGGTTTTTCCAGTGAAAGGACGCAGGATTTCAGACAAAAAACGAGCTAGTTTGTAGGTGGGGGAGCTGATAGTAGAGACTATGGGACGAAGAGGTGTATCAACTTTATGTATTTTTGGTAAGCCGTATAATCTTGGTGGCCTGGCAGCAGAAGGTTTCAACGAAAACTGTTTAGATTGATCAATTAATGCGGTTGAATCAGAAATTATTTTGTTGGTTTGTGTGACGAGGCTGTTGGTGGGATCTCTTTTTATTTTTGTATAACTACCATCGTCGAGTAATTCTTTAATTTTGTTGTTGTATTCTATTTTATCCATGATAACAGTAGCGTTGCCTTTGTCAGCTGAAAGAACTACAATATCATTCCTCTTTTTTAATTTATATAATTCAAAACGCTCATCTTTGCTGAGGTTGCTAGCTGGCATCTTAGCGTTTTTGAGGGTTGCAGCGATTTCAGATTTTGCTACGTCTGCAGCGATGTGACCCAGGCCCCTGAGAGCAACGTCTACTTGGGCAATTATATCATTAACTGGTATGTGTTTAGGTGTGACTGCAAAGTTTAGACCTTTAGCTAAAACGGATTTCAAACCATCGGAAATAGAACTGTTACTGCGATTAATTACGACTTTATTAACGTCTAACTTTTTGGTGTATGGGTCCGGTCTTTTGTTGAAGAGGAGGTTAAATTTGGAAATCAGGTTTTCCTTACATTTGGTCGACATAGTAGCAGCTGAAGAGGCAGTCATATTGTCTACATGTTCCCAATCCGATGTGGACATTATTGCCGTCAATGATAAGTGTGATTTGTAGAGTGTCTTGTCTAACTGATCTAGTTCTGTGCGTATAAGTCTGATTTTTTCTGAGATAAGAGCTAAGCTAGTTTTGAAAAGAATTCGTTTCGCATTAGAAGAAGTTACAGTAGCAGAGGTGAGTGTAAATGCGATTGGTATTACCCCAGAGTCGCGGGATCTCTTCAGGAAGGTGAGAGACTCGATCAGCTGAGCTTTCTTATCCCGGAGTTTGTTGAACGATCTTAAAGTTATGTGAAAACCCTCCCCGTAGAGGCGATTAAATTTTGATTTAAAGCTTTCGTGACTGCAGTAATTCATATTCTTAGTTTTTTCGGTAAAGTCACGTTGAAGAGAAACAACAAAATAACAAAATATATATAAAAAATCAAAAATTCTCACGACGTTTCGACCATAACTCAAACGGTCATCATCAGGTGTGTCGGTTTGCATACATTTATTTTGAAAACGGCATATTTATTTATTTATTTATATATAAAAAATAACGTTTGCGTCACGCGCAACGATTGGCAGTTTGCCAGGACTAGTCCATCTATTTTTTGAAAAGAGGAGGGGGGAGACGAAATTTGTTTTTATGTATGTTGTCTGAAAGCCACTGTAAGCGTGAACAATCAATCAAGAACTGAAATGATTTATCAAATCTTTCCAATGATTGCTAAGATAGAATCCATCTTCTCGGTTGAAATTGTCTCTGTGCTTGTATATGTGGATAGCCTCATGAACGAATCTCTCATGGAAGCCAGATGGCTTACAAAGAACCTCCGTCTTGGAAAAGTCAATGGCATGTGAGCCTACTGAATTAGAACAATGATCTGCTACGGCCGAGGTGTTGGTCCTACCGTGTTTAAGGTCTGCTTTATGTTCACGAATGCGGTCCGAGATATGGCGTTTGGTTTCTCCAATGTAACTACTACCACAGAGGCAACTTAGTTTGTAGACACCAGGGTATTGTATGTCCGGAATCACATCTTTTACAGACGGAACCAGATCACGGATTTTATGTAATGTGTTGAAACGGACCTGGATCTTGTGTTTATTCAAGATTTTGGAGATCTTTTTTGTGATCCCAGCAATGTAGGGTAAAGTGATGGTTTTGAAAGGCTCCTCAAGAGGGTTTTTCTTCATGGTTTGAGTGATAGCTTTGCGGATTGTATAGTCGGAGTAACCATTAGCCCTAAGAGCTTGGTGTACGTGCTTGAGTTCACTGCTTATGTGTTCCTGGTCGGATATGCATTGGGCTCTATGATACAGAGTCTTGATGAGAGAATTCTTCTGTGATGGATGGTGGTGGGAATCCGGTTTCAGATAAGCATCCGTATGGGTAGCTTTCCTGTAGACAGAGTGGCTCATTGAACCATCAGGTCTCTTTTAATTAGGACATCCAAAAAAGGTATCTTGCCATCAGATTTACCATGGAAGTCGAAATAGATGGCAAGATACCTTTTTTGGATGTCCTAATTAAAAAGAGACCTGATGGTTCAATGAGCCACTCTGTCTACAGGAAAGCTACCCATACGGATGCTTATCTGAAACCGGATTCCCACCACCATCCATCACAGAAGAATTCTCTCATCAAGACTCTGTATCATAGAGCCCAATGCATATCCGACCAGGAACACATAAGCAGTGAACTCAAGCACGTACACCAAGCTCTTAGGGCTAATGGTTACTCCGACTATACAATCCGCAAAGCTATCACTCAAACCATGAAGAAAAAACCCTCTTGAGGAGCCTTTCAAAACCATCACTTTACCCTACATTGCTGGGATCACAAAAAAGATCTCCAAAATCTTGAATAAACACAAGATCCAGGTCCGTTTCAACACATTACATAAAATCCGTGATCTGGTTCCGTCTGTAAAAGATGTGATTCCGGACATACAATACCCTGGTGTCTACAAACTAAGTTGCCTCTGTGGTAGTAGTTACATTGGAGAAACCAAACGCCATATCTCGGACCGCATTCGTGAACATAAAGCAGACCTTAAACACGGTAGGACCAACACCTCGGCCGTAGCAGATCATTGTTCTAATTCAGTAGGCTCACATGCCATTGACTTTTCCAAGACGGAGGTTCTTTGTAAGCCATCTGGCTTCCATGAGAGATTCGTTCATGAGGCTATCCACATATACAAGCACAGAGACAATTTCAACCGAGAAGATGGATTCTATCTTAGCAATCATTGGAAAGATTTGATAAATCATTTCAGTTCTTGATTGATTGTTCACGCTTACAGTGGCTTTCAGACAACATACATAAAAACAAATTTCGTCTCCCCCCTCCTCTTTTCAAAAAATAGATGGACTAGTCCTGGCAAACTGCCAATCGTTGCGCGTGACGCAAACGTTATTTGTTATATATAAATAAATAAATAAATATCCCTTTTCAAAATAAATTTATGCAAACCGACACACCTGATGATGACCGTTTGAGTTATGGTCGAAACGTCGTGAGAATTTTTGATTTTTTATATATATTTTGTTATTTTGTTGTTTCTCTTCAACGTGACTTTACCGAAAAAACTAAGAATATGAATTACTGCAGTCACGAAAGCTTTAAATCAAAATTTAATCGCCTCTACGGGGAGGGTTTTCACATAACTTTAAGATCGTTCAACAAACTCCGGGATAAGAAAGCTCAGCTGATCGAGTCTCTCACCTTCCTGAAGAGATCCCGCGACTCTGGGGTAATACCAATCGCATTTACACTCACCTCTGCTACTGTAACTTCTTCTAATGCGAAACGAATTCTTTTCAAAACTAGCTTAGCTCTTATCTCAGAAAAAATCAGACTTATACGCACAGAACTAGATCAGTTAGACAAGACACTCTACAAATCACACTTATCATTGACGGCAATAATGTCCACATCGGATTGGGAACATGTAGACAATATGACTGCCTCTTCAGCTGCTACTATGTCGACCAAATGTAAGGAAAACCTGATTTCCAAATTTAACCTCCTCTTCAACAAAAGACCGGACCCATACACCAAAAAGTTAGACGTTAATAAAGTCGTAATTAATCGCAGTAACAGTTCTATTTCCGATGGTTTGAAATCCGTTTTAGCTAAAGGTCTAAACTTTGCAGTCACACCTAAACACATACCAGTTAATGATATAATTGCCCAAGTAGACGTTGCTCTCAGGGGCCTGGGTCACATCGCTGCAGACGTAGCAAGATCTGAAATCGCTGCAACCCTCAAAAACGCTAAGATGCCAGCTAGCAACCTCAGCAAAGATGAGCGTTTTGAATTATATAAATTAAAAAAGAGGAATGATATTGTAGTTCTCTCAGCTGACAAAGGCAACGCTACTGTTATCATGGATAAAATAGAATACAACAACAAAATTAAAGAATTACTCGACGATGGTAGTTATACAAAAATAAAAAGAGATCCCACCAACAGCCTCGTCACACAAACCAACAAAATAATTTCTGATTCAACCGCATTAATTGATCAATCTAAACAGTTTTCGTTGAAACCTTCTGCTGCCAGGCCACCAAGATTATACGGCTTACCAAAAATACATAAAGTTGATACACCTCTTCGTCCCATAGTCTCTACTATCAGCTCCCCCACCTACAAACTAGCTCGTTTTTTGTCTGAAATCCTGCGTCCTTTCACTGGAAAAACCACCTCTGCGGTACAAAATTCTACTCACCTGGTATCAACAATCAAGGGTATTTCCCTGTCCCCAGACGACCTGCTTGTCAGTTTTGATGTAGTTTCCTTATTCACCAAGGTTCCTGTACCTGACACCATTGCAATCATTGAAGACTTGGTTCATCAAGGACTAAACACTGAGGTACCCCCCCTGGTGAGACACTGTTTAACCAATACATACTTCACTTGGAATGGAACTTTCTACAAACAAACTGAGGGCACCCCAATGGGCTCCCCCCTTTCTCCAGTTATAGCTAACATTTTCATGGAGAAATTTGAGACTGACGCCATCCAGACTGCCACTCTGCGCCCAACCTTATGGAAGAGGTACGTGGATGACACTTTTGTCATCTGGCCACATGGCCGGCCTGCTCTAGACCAATTCTTCGACCACATCAATTCCATACACCCAGCCATCAGATTTACCATGGAAGTCGAAATAGATGGCAAGATACCTTTTTTGGATGTCCTAATTAAAAAGAGACCTGATGGTTCAATGAGCCACTCTGTCTACAGGAAAGCTACCCATACGGATGCTTATCTGAAACCGGATTCCCACCACCATCCATCACAGAAGAATTCTCTCATCAAGACTCTGTATCATAGAGCCCAATGCATATCCGACCAGGAACACATAAGCAGTGAACTCAAGCACGTACACCAAGCTCTTAGGGCTAATGGTTACTCCGACTATACAATCCGCAAAGCTATCACTCAAACCATGAAGAAAAACCCTCTTGAGGAGCCTTTCAAAACCATCACTTTACCCTACATTGCTGGGATCACAAAAAAGATCTCCAAAATCTTGAATAAACACAAGATCCAGGTCCGTTTCAACACATTACATAAAATCCGTGATCTGGTTCCGTCTGTAAAAGATGTGATTCCGGACATACAATACCCTGGTGTCTACAAACTAAGTTGCCTCTGTGGTAGTAGTTACATTGGAGAAACCAAACGCCATATCTCGGACCGCATTCGTGAACATAAAGCAGACCTTAAACACAGTAGGACCAACACCTCGGCCGTAGCAGATCATTGTTCTAATTCAGTAGGCTCACATGCCATTGACTTTTCCAAGACGGAGGTTCTTTGTAAGCCATCTGGCTTCCATGAGAGATTCGTTCATGAGGCTATCCACATATACAAGCACAGAGACAATTTCAACCGAGAAGATGGATTCTATCTTAGCAATCATTGGAAAGATTTGATAAATCATTTCAGTTCTTGATTGATTGTTCACGCTTACAGTGGCTTTCAGACAACATACATAAAAACAAATTTCGTCTCCCCCCTCCTCTTTTCAAAAAATAGATGGACTAGTCCTGGCAAACTGCCAATCGTTGCGCGTGACGCAAACGTTATTTGTTATATATAAATAAATAAATATGCCGTTTTCTAAATAAATTTATGCAAACCGACACACCTGATGATGACCGTTTGAGTTATGGTCGAAACGTCGTGAGAATTTTTTATTTTTTATATATATTTTGTTATTTTGTTGTTTCTCTTCAACGTGACTTTACCGAAAAAACTAAGAATATACCCTCAATGAGTTGAAAGACCCATACCGTCTTGCAGATTATAAGGTTGGCAGTGTCCGAATGATTACCCTGAAACGACACATACTAATAGATGAGGTGTAATAACCAGCCACTGAAGTCCTGTGTGGACTTGTATATTTTATGTACATTTCATTTTATAGTAAAACATCTATTTAATGTCAAGAGTTTGGATTGGTCTTCTGGTATTGTATTGTATGTTCATCCCCTCTATCTATCTTTCAGAAAAGTTTGACAGGATGGGTACCCCAGCCAAACTTCTAGTAATCTTGGGAGAAAATAATTGTGAAAGGTTAAATCTCCCAACTGGTATACCAAACTCGTTGAATGACCTTAAAAGAGAAATCCAAACACAACTGAGAGTACTTGAAGATTTTCGACTTCAATTCAAAGATCCGGACTTTAATGATTTTGTCAACCTCACTTACAACTTCAGACATACAGGATAAAGCTACACTCAAGGTCATTCAGTTGCCTTCATCTACAAGTTTCCCAACTGCTTCATCTGTGCCAGAAATAAATGAGACATCTTCAGTATCATCCTGTGACACAGACATAATCTCATCCTCACAGTCATCTTTACTTTCAACTCCAGAATCTGTGTCCTCAGTTAGAAGTCAGGCATGGCCTGAACGTTTCCCAATACCACAGTTTAGTTTTGATGCTGATATTCAACTGCAAAAAGCTCAACTTGCTTATCAGACTGATGGTACTGTCCTGAGCCCCAATGCCAAGCTGAAGTCTGATATTTTGGATGCTTTAGCTTCAGAAATAATAAAGTACAAGGTATACCCTACAAGTGCAGATCTTGATGATGTTGCTGCTGCTTTGGTACAGAAGCACCCGTGCCTCAAAGAAAAAGGCTCTGTGAGCGGCTACTATGGCTGGAAAATAAGTCTGAAATATAAAATGGCAAACTAGAGAACAAAATTGGGGAACATAGAATGTTGTGAGTTAAACATCAACTCCCACAAGCGAAACGGATCCATGGGAAGTCCCAACCAAGTGAAGAAACCTAGAAAAGCCGAGGTTAATTACTGTCCAGATTACCCATTGGGTGAAACAAAGGATACGCTTGAAAAGCAAAGGATGACACTACTGTCTGAGGTGACTAAAAGAAACAATGAGCAGGTTATCAAGGTCCTGATGGAGAGAACATTTGCGCTCCGGAGGCATGAGGTGGTAGAAGATTTGCCGTTCATCGTTGAGTTAAGGAACAGATGGCCAGCACTCTTTACTGAGAGAGAGGTAAGTCTTTGATGTAATGTCAGTTATGATTAAATACTTGGATGGTTTTTATAATTCTAAAATATGAAAAAGTTCATTTGTAATTTTGTATGTCATCTGTAAGTGCTGGTAAAAAAAAATGTTCAATGTTTTTTAAACATGTTTATCAGCAGCCAACATTATTTGTCCTTCCAAAATTGTATTAGGTATCTGCAGAATTCAGTAGGATTACAACTATCCCTTTGGTGTCCAAATTTATGGGTCAGCTGGATCATTTCTCAACCCAGCTCCTCAGAATCTTCAGAAAGAAAGGAGGAAGAGCAACACAGAAGATGACAAACATCCTGTCAGTTATGGATCGGGTATGTTCTCTAAATTCATCATAATTTTAAATCTGACAATAATTAATAATAGATTAAAAGAATATTTAACCCAAAGATGGAAATTCAGTCATTATGTATAGCCTCATGTTATCGAGGGGGTTAATTTTTGGGTTAAGTATCCCTTTAAAGTCTGGTATATACAGTACTCTGCAAAAGTCTTAGGCATGTTAATATTTTCACCCAAAAAAGAAATGGTTTTAAGCCAGTTATTTAAATCTTTTACTGCAGTGTGTCAGTACGAAATATCGTTTTACATTTCCAAACATTCCTTTTGCCATTAATTGTAATAATCCAGTGACATTTTTATATGCACAAGGAGTCTGACAATAGCCAGTATGATCCACACAGAGATTCGATCTCATCATCATCAAGTCTGTCTGTGATTACATGAAGAAACAGAAAAACTGAGAAAGATTAAATCCAGAAGAACTGCGTCAACATCTTCAAGACACCTGAAGAAACCTTCCTGCGAAGCTACAGTACTTTTTGTACTGCTTTAAAACACAATGCCATAAATAGATTTTATTTGCTTAACTTCTATTAACTACATAAAATCAATACTCGATGTGACCAGCCGTTTCGTTTAAAAAAGCTTTTGTCCAGGTACACTTGCTCACAGTTTTTCAGGTAGCTTTGCAGGAAGGTTTATTCAGGTGTCTTGGAGATGTTGACGCAGTTCTTCTGGATTTAATCTTTCTCAGTTTTTCTGTTTCTTCATATAATCACAAGAATGACAAACTTGACTTGAATGAAAACAACACAGTGGGATAATCTGTATAATGCTACTTATAATGGTACAATAACAAGTCTAAAAAGCAAAGTGCTAACTAATGCTCATTTCAATTTTTTTCAGAATGACACCATCGAAAAAAACCGTGAATTCATCTTGAAAGCCCTTACTGTTTACATGAACGAAGACCCCTCAAACCTTGTGAAGGAGTACTTGGTAAGTTATTTACTTAAAAAAAACCTATTGTATGTTTCTTTAAAACCAACTCCCACTTTCACCCCTGATCTGTTATTAATTGTTTCTATTTGTATTTTACTTTTTTAGGACGTTAAACATGATGAAGCCCAAACTTCAATGCGCAACACCACCCTAGGCAATTATGTCGTCGTACATGAAGGGGCAGATGCTACAGACCCTTACGAAGATGTTGCCATTATCATTGAAGGCGTCCAAATACTTGAAGACCTGAACAATGTGGCAAATGCTTGTTCTGTGATGCTTGGTCTAATTTAAGCTTTAAACTTGGCTTACCCACAAGACCTGAGGTACACTTTTGAAGTATTTCAAGAGATTTTTATGGAGCTAGATCAGGGGTGTCCAAACTACAGCCCGTGGGCCAACTGCGGCCCGCCATCCATTTTTAATTGGCCCGTATCAAAGTCTAAAAATATAATGGACTATGGCCCACTGTATTGCACTTCTTAGTTTAAAGACGAGGTGGCACTATTGTTGTCTTGAACAAGGCAGCGTCTCCACAAAGCAAGCAATAGAAGAAAAAAATTGCTCAGGGTCACCAGAAATGCGGGAACTGAAGAGACGCAAGATTGCAAGCGAGTGCAGAAAATTTCAGACTCGGTGGAAAAATGAATATTTTTTCATAGAAACCAAGGGGAAGTGTGTTTGTTTGATTTGTAATGAGAGTGTTGCCCTGATGAAAGAGTACAATGTACGACGGCATTATTAAACGAAACATCAGACCTGTCGCTGAGCGGAAAGAGAAGGCAAAGCAAATGGCAGCTAGCCTGCTAATGCAGCAGCAGTTTTTTTTTCCGTGCTAACAAAGCTCAAGAAAATGCAACAATGGCCAGTTATGAAGTAGCTCAACTCATTGCCTTACAACGGGAACCTTTCTCAGACGGTGACTTCATCAAACAGTGCCTCACTAAAGTCGTGGGAATAATGTGCCCGAAGAAAATGCAGGATTTCAACGATGTTAGTATGTCCAGAAATACGGTTGTGCGGCGAATTGAAGACTTGTCGGCTAACTTAAAACAGCAAGTGTCAGATAAAGCTTGTGCTTTCGATTTTTACTCGATTGCATGTGATGAGAGCACAGATGCCACGGACACTGCACAGCTGTGAATTTTTTTGCGGGGAGTTGATGATAATTTTTGCATTACGGAGGAACTGCTCGACCTTCGGAGTCTAAAGGGGACAACAACTGGGAAGGACATGTTTTGAAGCTGTGTCAGATGCAATTGACCAGGCTGGACTTAAATGGGACAAGCTGTGTGGAATTACAACGGATGGGGCTCCAGCAATGACAGGCGAGCGCAAAGGAACGGCCTCTATGGTGAGTGCCAAGGTGCCGGAGAGCGGAGGTGAGGCTGTCAAAATGCACTGTATCAACCACCAAGAAGCCCTCTGTGCCAAGATAATCCAGCTTGGCGATGTGATGAACACAGTTGTGAAAACTGTCAACATAATTCGGGCACGAGGGCTTTACCACAGAGAATTTCAAGCGTTCCTCTCTGATGTCGATGCTGAATACGGGGACCTACTCTACCACTCTGAAGTGCGCTGGCTCAGTCGCGGCTCCGTGCTGCAGCGGTTTTATTCCCCGAGATCAAATATCGACAAGTTTTTGAAAGAAAAGGGCAGACCTCTCCATGAGATCAGTGACCCTTTATGGTTGGCAGACCTGGCTTTTTTAGTTGATCTCATTGATCATCTCAACACCCTGAACAAGAGACTACAAGGCAAAGAGCAGCTGGTACCACAGCTGCATGCGCACATGAAAGCATTCCGTGCGAAGCTCCGTCTCTTCGAGTCACAACTGCGCAACTTCAATGTAGCGCACTTCCCCACGCTGACCCAAATCAAATGCGCATTTCCAAATGCCAAGCTCTCTGCAAAAATGGGAGAATATGTGTCTGTGATCACATCTCTCATGACAGAATTCAGTCAGCGCTTCCAAGATTTTTCTGTCATTGAGAAGGAAATCACACTGTTTGTGGCTCCGTTTTCAATGGATGCAAAAGAAGTAGAGGAGAGTCTGCAATTAGAACTGATCGAAATTCAGTGTGATGATTCTCTTAAGAATCAGCATTAGCTTCTCTCCCTACCTGACTTCTACCGGAGCTTGGAAAAGGCCAAGTTTCCTCTGATGAGACGACTCGCAAAACGAATGATGAGTCTGTTCGGCTCAATATACATATGTGAGCAGACATTCTCTCTGTTAACGCTGAACAAAAGCAGACTGAGAACCAGAACGACCGCCAGCCATCTCCGTGACGTCCTTCGCATCTCAACCACCAAACGTACTCCTGACCTGCCGGCTATCCTTCAGACCAAAGCGCAGCATCACTGCTCCCACTGAGCGTAACATTCTTCCCATTACAGGTAAGTAAAAAATATACACACAGTTTTCATTTGTTAATAAGCCCAATTACTTAATAAATTCAGTCAATTAAAGTTGATGACAATTTTTAACAAACGTTAGTTGATGTGTTAACAAGCCCAATTATTTATTTGTGTAATAAGCTTGAAATATCTACATCCCCTATTTCTCTTCTTGTCTCTCCCTTCATACAGGACAATGAAGGGGGATCAGCACCCTAAGAACCAATCTGAGGCTGTCACTGAGAGAATGACCTGCCAACCTTTTTGTAAAAAATAAAATGAAAATCTACTAATGGAGAGCTATGATCGAGGCTTTTATTCTTCAAATATGTTCAATTATCAAACGTAATTTACCTGCATTTGATTGATTTTGCCAATATTAGTGCATGAAAAGTGAGGCAGTATCCCTCACGTCTAGTGAGTGGCCCAGTCCTTCGTATATTTTTCTGTATGTGGCCCTCGGGAAAAGAAGTTTGGACACCCCTGCCCTACTCTGTCAGTAGAACTCATCTGGCTTCCTTCTGCGAGCACCCAGTACCGTGCCCCTAGTGGCCCACTGAATGGTACTACACGGTGTGTTAGCCTCTGCGTCCATTCCTACGGCACTTGGCGTTACGCGCTGTAGTGATCCATTTAACATCACGATACATGATCCATTTAACATCATTAATTGACTCAATGACACCTGAGTATATAGAGGACGGCAGAGCTTTGGGGGGAAACTTGTCACCAGCTCACTTGGCTGTTTTACTTCCCACTTGTCTGTGGTTCCTCGCACCCCTTGAGTCGTTCTGTCTCATCGAGACTGAGTGAATCCCGTGTGTGGCAGCGCATTGCAACTTGGAGTTATTATTACTGCAGCTCTGTGAATTTTTACGGCACACGGATTCGGATTGTCAAACCTTAAAAATAGAATCCAGATTCGCAGTCATCCCATTCCTTGCTCTTGCCAATGATGATACTGATTCCATATACAGTGAGGGAAAAAAAGTATTTGATCCCCTGCTGATTTTGTACGTTTGCCCACTGACAAAGAAATGATCAGTCTATAATTTTAATGGTAGGTTTATTTGAACAGTGAGAGACAGAATAACAACAACAAAATCCAGAAAAACGCATGTCAAAAATGTTATAAATTGATTTGCATTTTAATGAGGGAAATAAGTATTTGACCCCCTCTCAATCGGAAAGATTTTTGGCTCCCAGGTGTCTTTTATACAGGTAACGAGCTGAGATTAGGAGCACACTCTTAAAGGGAGTGCTCCTAATCTCAGATTGTTACTTGTATAAAAGACACCTGTCCACAGAAGCAATCAATCAGATTCCAAACTCTCCACCATGGCCAAGACCAAAGAGCTCTCCAAGGATGTCAGAGACAAGATTGTAGACCTACACAAGGCTGGAATGGGCTACAAGACCATTGCCAAGCAGCTTGGTGAGAAGGTGACAACAGTTGGTGTGATTATCCGCAAATGGAAGAAACACAAAAGAACTGTCAATCTCCCTCGGCCTGGGGCTCCATGCAAGATCTCACCTCGTGGAGTTGCAATGATCATGAGAACGGTGAGGAATCAGCCCAGAACTACACGGGAGGATCTTGTCAATGATCTCAAGGCAGCTGGGACCATAGTCACCAAGAAAACAATTGGTAACACACTACGCCGTGAAGGACTGAAATCCTGTAGCGCCCGCAAGGTCCCCCTGCTCAAGAAAGCACATATACATGCCCGTCTGAAGTTTGCCAATGAACATCTGAATGATTCAGAGGACACTGGGTGAAAGTGTTGTGGTCAGATGAGACCAAAATGGAGCTCTTTGGCATCAACTCAACTCGCCGTGTTTGGAGGAGGAGGAATGCTGCCTATGATCCCAAGAACACCATCCCCACCGTCAAACATGGAGGTGGAAACATTATGCTTTGGGGGTGTTTTTCTGCTAAGGGACAGGACAACGTCACCGCATCAAAGGGACGATGCACGGGGTCATGTACCGTCAAATCTTGGGTGAGAACCTCCTTCCCTCAACCAGGGCATTGAAAATGGGTCGTGGATGGGTATGCCAGCATGACAATGACCCAAAACACACGGCCAAGGCAACAAAGGAGTGGCTCAAGAAGAAGCACATTAAGGTCCTCGAGTGGCCTAGCCAGTCTCCAGAACTTAATCCCATAGAAAATCTGTGGAGGGAGCTGAAGGTTCGAGTTGCCAAACGTCAGCCTCGAAACCTTAATGACTTGGAGAAGATCTGCAAAGAGGGGTGGGACAAAATCCCTCCTGAGATGTGTGCAAACCTGGTGGCCAACTACAAGAAATGTCTGACCTCTGTGATTGCCAACAAGGGTTTTGCCACCAAGTACTAAGTCATGTTTTGCAGAGGGGTCCAATACTTATTTCCCTCATTAAAATGCAAATCAATTTATAACATTTTTGACATGCGTTTTTATGGATTTTGTTGTTATTCTATCTCTCACTTTTCAAATAAACCTACCATTAAAATTATAGACTGATCATTTCTTTGTCAGTGGGCAAACGTACAAAATCAGCAGGGGATCAAATACTTTTTTCCCTCACTGTAAGCTGAACTCTATCATGTTGAACGAGGTTCTATCGTGTCCCTACGAAAATAAACTAATGGTTCGCGTGAAGGTACAATAGCTAAAAATGCTTTTGTATGCAAATACACCCATTGGGCATCACGAGGTAATGGCGAAGGATTGTGATTCACGTGTTGGAGGAGCGCCATTCACTCCTGGCAGACGATTTTGTGTTGGCCAAGAGCTCTGCCGTGGTGGAGCCAACGGAAAATTACACAAAGCATTTCGCCGGTACTTGGGCTGCCAAGGATCACCCCCTCACCGCGTGATCTCCCCTCTTCAAATAACACGAGGCAGCGCTCCTCTGTGGCTCTCGGCAAGTGGTGAAAATCCCCTGCATGCTCACGGATGGTGGCAGGCAGCCTCTTCGTAGGATGACCGCTGTTAACTTTGCACTAATTGGCACTCATTTTTTTTATTGACCACCGCGGAAGAAAGGGAGTTGTTGACCCCCAACCGGGATTTGCCCTTCACCGACAGGGATGGGCCCACCTCAGTGCTTGTTCGAAAATATAGTGGCGCACCTATCGAGTGTGCAGGAGGTGCAACTGCACCAGGGTCGATGGGCCAGGCTACAAAAAGGGGGAGGGGTGGGGGTGATCGGTCAGTGGGCCCTCTTTCATTCCTTACAGCAGGGCCCAGGCCGACCACACTACGCCACTGAATGGAGAAACGATGACTTCAGTTCCGTGTGTTCGGCTGGGCTTGAATTAAGTTTGCACGTGTGTACGTTCAACTTCTTTCACACCGTACGTAACCAACCGTGATAATCGGAGGTGCTTGAATTAAGTTTGCACGTGTGTACGTTCAACTTCTTTCACACCGTACGTAACCAACCGTGATAATCGGAGGTGCGGCGGAAGGACAACGAACTAAGCACTAAAAGCAGCCCTGAAGAAATGAGTGTTCAGTCTAGATGATTTCAAAGTGCATAGCTCCAGTGGCGAGCTCCTAAAGCAGCCCCCTCCCCAAGTATCATCCAATTCAAATTTGTGCACGGGGCGTATTTAAGGAATGAGAAGAGGGCGAAATTCATGAACACTTCACCAGACTGTCCTCGATGTCCCCCAAGTACTGTGTAACGAGATTATAAGCTTTTTCAATGACCCTATGAGGCACAGACCCTGTCCCCCATCAATAGAGGAGAGAGACCGACCCTTTGGGGACTGAGGCCTCTCACGGCCTCAAGGCATCAACACGCTCTCATTGAAACCTTAAATATTATAGCCAGGAAGGTTATTCTGGTTAATTGGAAGAACCACGAACCACCCACGTGGAAGCAGTGGTATAGTACGCTCCCAGCACATGTGAGTAAGGAGCATCTGAGCCATAAGCTTAAGGGAAAGGAGGGGGAATTCGAGGCCAGATGGTCCCCTCTCATACAACACCTGAACTAGGCTAGCCGGATTGGGGGAGGGGGGTGGGGGTCGGGAGAGGGGGACCGATGATAAGGGGTACAACCTCTACGGATGAGACGAGAGTGGGACTGGAATGAGTGGAGGAAAAATCCGATCGCTCTGTGGCCGTCTCTTTTATTTATTTTAGGGCCATTTTTTTTATTCCACCCACCCCGTCTCCCTTAACTTGAATGCTGACCTTACTCCTTCTGGTAGCGGCCCAGCTTGTTAGGGGTAGCGGGCCTGCTCCCCATCTTTATAGCCCCCTGCTTTCTCCAACCGGTTTAGCTCATATCGACGGTTCGAACACGCGACACAAACGTGGCGTAACGGGCCCGTGAATTGCCTCAATAATTCTCACAACAAAGTGCTTAGCTCCAGTGGCTTCCTAATATCGGAAGGAAGAGCGTTCCAGACGGCTGCAGAAGCGCACCCGAAAGCACGCCATGCGGTGACCGTCTTTGTTAGATGGCTGGCCAAAAGCTGCTGCCCAGGTAAAGTTTGACGGCCTTTGGGTTTCACTTTTTACTGGAGTTGTTTTGACGCACAGGGCGAATGAAGGCAGGTCTCGTGGCTCATCGGGCGGTTGCGTTCAATAATCTTTCCCCTAAAGGCACAGCAATCGAGAGAACATTGGGCTTAAATAATGAACGCGTGGCTCTCGCTTTGTAAACACACTAATCGGGTGTGGCCCTGGGTCACCGGGGCAGGACAGCTGGTCATGCATTCCCTGGCCCACCCAAAGGACACATGGTGGACCACGAAGCCACGGGGCTTTACTCGCCCAGTGCGGACGCTTGGACAACCACTAACCCCGTCGTGTCTTAAATTCCATACTGAGCACAATTAAAGCCACCACCAATCGCTTCAATCGCACTGCTATTGAGTGACCGGAAGATGTAAAATTTAGTCCTCCATTCGGCTTTTCGCTCAAAGATTTCAAACGTAGTTCCCGGATGAGCAATGCAGACACAATTGAAAGACAAATCAAGTTGCCTTTCCAAAGTGCAACTTTGCTTTTTGAGAAGGGGCGACATTTCAGCTGAAGAATGGACAAAACAAACTATCAAACGGACAGAACAGCTTTGAGAAACCGCGGCCATCCGTGGCTGTGACTCAGCCAGGCGGAAGCTCATTCGCTATTCGTTCTAGAGGTTGAAATCCGACAGGTCGCCCTGTTTATTACTGCAGGTGTGATGCCCATTCAATATGCGCCGTCTGCTTCACAGTGGATGTCAAAGATCCCCTGACGTAATCCAAACGCATTGTCGGCCGTTGTGCGCCGGTGTAATGGTCCAAATTTGTCACAATTCAAAAATTACCTGCAAATGACTCCATTGAGATTACGCAAAGCAATCATTGCCGCCTCACCGGCAAACGCATGCCCGATGGCAGGCCGCGGGCCATGACACCCTGCGAACCATAGACAGCTGCCACCGGGGTGCCCTTTCAATTGTTTGAGATGAGATGAGGTGTAAGTGGCTCATGGTGTTAAGTCCTTTGAGGTGCCACCGCTTAAAAGGGCTCTCTTTGAAATACAAATTGAATGATGAATAACCCGATGGACACCCATTGTAATTTATAAGCATTCATTAATCCCCCCCACCTCTTCGCACGTGAAGGGCTCACAAGTGACGTCATCACATCTATCACTCTATTTAAGGAACGAAACAGGAGGATTTCTCCACAAATCTGGCTGTCTGCCTGCTGTTGCCGGTTGTAATTACTGACGAAACGTCGTACTCTGATTGTAAATGTTGTGGATTTGCTCTCCAATACACCGGTGCGATGTATTAGTAACGAATTGGCCACGTTCTGTGTCGTGACAAACCTCACTAATTGGCTGTGTCGGCTGGTGGCGGGTTTAACGACACATTTATATTCATGCAATCGAACCCCAAGCAAACCTCTATTACATTATGGAAAAATACATTTTCATCAATATCATCCGTGAGTCAGAGAGAGAGAGTGGATATTTCAGGCCAATTCCATCTTCTGCCCACGACGGCAATGAACGGACGACGGCCGTGGACACGGCCGTGGGAGTGAGG